TATATCAATACCATAGAATTCCACTATAATTTATCAAGTTTAATAACTAAGCTGTATTTCACTCTAAAAAAGTATGAAATTTTGAGCAGACTAAAGACAACCTACTTCCTTGAAATCTTGGTTCAAAAGAAAGAGATGGCATCCAAATACATTAAAATGGCTGAGAAAGCCACTAGGGGGATATTCTGAGCTACTAATTAGTTGTTCATAGAAGTGTATGTAAGGGAGCATTTCCAAAAATGAAAAGAGGTGGATGGGGTGTCATTGTGTGATTTATTACATGAGAATATATCTTGGCAAATTGAAAAGATAAGAGGTTCTTATTTTATATTCTAGCTTGTCAATATCGGTAACTTGAGTTCCTAATTTGTGCAAAACTATAGACTTAATATTTTGACATCACAAATATCTAATATGAACTAGTGCTGCATACCATGTGATACACAAAAATCGATGTATAACTGTGCTTTTAATATTTACTTTTAAATTAAGAAATTAAATAAGGTACAATACTAAAATCTGAATTATAATTTACAGTTTGATACCAAACTTATTGACGTAAATTCATGAAATAGTAGTTCAATAAAATTTTGAATGCCAGTCAACAAACAAGATGACATGGCCTTCCACCCGTGACCTGTATGGAAAGGGTTAAATAATTTCTTGAAATCATAAAACTAGTGGCAGCTTTCCAAGCTAACCCTCAGGCATCAGATTTGTTCTGCCTGTACAATATTCAATTTCCCATGGAAGTCGAGATCAAAATGCAACTTCTATAGTTTAATGCTAGCAAAATACAATGAATTAGTCCTAACAGTTTGGATTTTAAACATTGATATTCCTCATTCCTCAAATAATGTAAAATTGAACTCATCTCTCCTGCTTACTTTGTATGAAGTAGTAGTTGAAATATATCAAACTTGTAAATTTAAAGTAATGAACTTTGCTGTCCCTTAATATTAAAAATGCAATAATTTAAAATACAATTTGACAGAGTTTGTTAATTCTGGTTTTGGTTAAAACAATTTTTTTTTATCAGTTAAACTAATAAAGTATTATAGCTACTAATCAAGCAATGATCCAAATTGCAACTTGCTCACACTACACGATTTGACAGAGTGCATGATAGTTCTGGTTTTGAATTGCATTTTGATTAAAACAAGTGTTTCATTACTTGAATTAATGAAGAACAAAAACTACTAGAGAATAAAAAAAACTTTTTAGTGAATGGTTTGCCTGTCATAAAAAGAGCACTGCTTTTCAGAAATATTTGGATAGAAAGGCCTACACATTCATAAACATTAACAAATCATGCAACGAGGTGAATGTATCGTTAAATACTAACTATTTATCAGCAGTTTTATTTTTGTATAAAATCTTAATCATTAATAGTAATCAAAGGAAATATTAAAGGAAAAAACAATTCAATTTTTCTTTTACAACAGCATTTTCTTGCCATCGTAGTTAAGGTTTTTCATAAAATTTCATTGCTTTTCCAAGGGTCATGCTGTATGCTGTCACTAGTTGCAAGGGCCAAAATTTCCCAAATATGAAAAGTGTAACTGAAACACTATGATACTTTAGTGTCAATTGTTTGTCTTTTGCAATTTATTTTGTAAGTTATCTAAAATTTCAAACTTATGGTAAATCAGAATGTATTAGTCATGAATGCTCATCAATCTGTGGTCCATGGTATTGACCTATTATTGTTAAATACTCCAAGATTGCAATAATTAGGAAGGAAAAAACAAACTATTATCACATAGCATTTACACTCCTTCACAATCACATATTAATATGGAAAAAAACTAAAACTGATCTTTCTATTATAAGAAAATTATTATATTTAGCTAAACTTCCACACGTTATGATCATTTTCACCAAATAAAATATCTTGAAGAACTTTACCAGTTGCTCCTTTAGATGCTGAGTCCAAAGCTGTAGTCAGGTCCCACATCTGATTGCAGGGGAAAGAAAAATTATAAAAGGACTGATAAAAAAATCTAGTGAGCAATTTAATGATTTAGTAGAAAAGATACTCAGAGTAGTACAGAAAAATACTGATCTTAAAATTAATAAAAAAGAAGATAAGGACAAAAGTCAGTCAATAGTCCATATCATGCCATGTAAATGTAGATTTGGTATATTTTTAATGAAACATCAAGGATATGTTTATCTAAAACAGCTATGCTTGAATATCTTTTAGAATCAAAAACTGAACAGATAAAATTTTGGATAAAGTGTACAAAATCTGAATTTCTAAACAAAAACTGGAACAATTTACAGTATTAAACATTTTCTAGGGAAACTAAACCTGAGCATTTTAGTATTACGCTTCCTGTCACAGAAGTTATAAAAAATAACTTTAAAAGAAAACTAATGTTTTAAAATAATCCTGTAGTAGTTAGATGAATGGTTATTAGTGTACTTATGCCTTTAAAATATTATTTTCACTTTTGAAAAATATTTATTTATCCATTAACATGTGCAGACTATTAATATAAAGGAATATGTAAAGACATTATAGATTGGATGTACTGATCATGATTTAAGTTGACAGACTTAATGATGTTTTATCACAATATTTACTGAATGGTTTCATTCATGCACATTAAAAAATATATTTTACAGACTTGAGATTAAATTCCATGAAAAAATTAAGGAATCTCAGTCTTAATCACTTTACCAAATGCTCTATAGATCAGATGTGGTAGAAACCTGTATTAAAAAATTCCTAGTGTGTTCTCATTTCAGTTGCAATACCTACAAATTGTTATTGTAAGAGCTTAAGATAAGGTAACCAATAAAGAATCTTCTTTTATATATACACAATGTAGTAGATCAAATCAATTCTTGTTTGTTCTTGTTACAGTCATAATATTATAAATTACTACTGTTATTGTCTGTAACAATTTGCAGTCATTCTAAAAAAAACAATGTACTTTTGTTTTTACTTAACGTTTTTCAGCTTTTTGCTACAGTTAACGTTAGGGTAGAGTAAATAAAAGATAAAAGTTTTATTTAAAAAAAATTATATTAATTTAGGAGATTCTACAAGTTAGGTAAATATAATATGAAAACTGTGGGATGGTAAAACTATCTTTATTCTTAACAAGAAAATCACCATGTCCGACTAGTCAGAGTCTGAGTCAGATTGACTCGAGAAATTCACAGACAAATTTTCAGTAGAAATACCTTACTAAAAATTCTGATTTTTCACTTACAACATACATATAACATTTGTAAAAGTTAACCAAAGTTTGTGAAGAAACACTCAGTAAATTTGTAATTATAGTAAATATTGCTATATATAGCTTCACAGAAAAGGGGGATTGTTGAAATGCACCAATGCCATTCACATAAGGCTAAAAGACTGAAAAATTATATTTTGTTCAGAACAGTGGTGTAGAAAGTGTGTAAATAGAGTGTAGTTATATTCAATATAGGTTTTATTGTGACATTCTTTATAGAAATATTTGTAATTTATATATATATATAAACTTTTTTTAATGGGAAGTAAGCACCCAACTTTTAGAGTAAATCACATTATTAAGCATAATACTTTTTTTATGTGGGTAACATCTAACAGGCAGCATAAAAATGTTAAACATACTTATTCCATTAATATATAAAAAATAAAATACACCTAAGAAAAGATAAATAACCACAGTAAATTAATAATCTAAATCAGGATTGATTATGTGGCTAAATAACCTTAACATCTCCAAGACTGATTCTATGATATATTACTTCTTTTCCACAGTTCATTATTACAACAAATGGAGATTATAAATCAATAATGTGGCACCACACTATATTCATATCTTTACCTGAATAGCTCCACTACTATGGCCTGTAAAAATGTACCGACGAGGACGGGAACCCATCCTATTTGAGCCCTCACATTCATGTACACAGAAGGCAGTGATAGTTGTAGCATCTACAGATTTGATTATACAGATCCTACAGAGAGAATAAGAGAGTTTCATGTATTTAACATGTATGGATACACTTTTTTTAAAAATATTCTGCAAAAATATTCTGCATGGATTTAAATAAATATTAAAATAGTTCAATAATACTAAGATTGTAATAAGACATTCAAACCAATAAGAGACCAGAATCAAAATGGATTAAAAATTTGAAATTACAAAGGAATTTTTTTTTAGCTAGCACCTATTAAGAAAACTTCTCTATAAAAATGATTTTTCCCATTACACAAATTTCACTAAATTTTAATCAGACAAGAGGTATATCTTAACTCATGTTAAGCATCATTTCACTCTATAATGTGGCAAACTTTGTAGGATCATCCCTATAAGTGTCTCTTCCGGCTTTCTCACCTGCTTCTATCTATTCTAAAATTACTCCTAAAAGAAATAAAAGCTCACACCCTTTCAGAATTCCACCAGTGTTAAATCCTACCACACAAATTGTCCACCCAAGAACAGAAGAAATAATTTACATTATTACAATGATAACCTGTCAAACCTTTAATGTTTATTTGTTGTATTGCACTTTGGTGAAATTGACCATGATATGATGGATATTCAATTAACAAAAGATATACAAGACATCAAATACAAACACAATGACAATATCAACTACTACAGAGGATGAGGTTGAAAATACTGCTCTGCAATTGTTTGTTTATTATGACTTTTGTATTTTCTGAAGTATCAATCCTAAAAACAATCAACCTTCTTACAACACAAGTTTATCTTAATGACCAAGTCTGCTAGCATTTTCTTCATTTTGCATGCTTGGGCATAACTATGTCTTTAATACTAGGAACATAATTTTTATTGGCTTATTGGCCACTGCGAAAAGCTTTTGTTTCAAAAAATGGAATCCTTTTGAATTTGTTGAGTTTGTGGTTATTTTTGGTATATAATTCTCAGTAATAATATATTGATTGGCACACCATTCTTTCCTTGTTTCATACTAGAATTACATACTTATGATTTATAATAAATAAGGTTAAAATGTTCTTGCATAAGTGTATGTGCTAACAAGCTAATACAATAACATAACTTGTAATTTATAAGGCATAAAAAAATTTAATACAAAGATAAAATTAACATAACTGGAACCTCACAACTGGATATTTTTCCAACAACTGTTACTCAAAGTATAACCATAAAAGAAAAAAATATTTTCCTACCTGTTTCCAGACGATGCTAGACGTACATATAACTGGTCAGTTTCTGGGACTACTTTTTGCAAGAAAACCTGCTCATCATCTTTGTCTCCATAAGGTCCTAAAGAATTATTTTTATTTTTCAATGATATATAAATGACACATATACATATCACAAATCGATAATACTAATTCTGGCAATCTATTAATGATGATGATGTAAAAAACATTTTGTTTTTGTTTAAGCATAAAGCTGCAAAATTGGTTACCTGAACTTTCTTCACTGAAGAGATTTAACCCTGAATCATAAGCCCTCATAGTTACCACTGAGCGACCAGGCCCACACAAAGTTTAAAACAGTCCTTCACATCTGACAGGCACAATCACACTAACACTCGAAAGCACCTTTAAATCGAGTTTTACAAGAACTTGTTGGAGCTCTTGTTAAGTCTATTATGATGACTGCTGTTTTGGACCCACTACTGGTCCTTTTATTCTTAACAAGAATTCAGATCCTGTTATTATTTATCACAGAATTAGCCATGCAATCAGTTGTGGTTTGTATACACAAATAAGCTCAGCGATAACTTTGTGTGACCCTCTTGGTCGCTATGACTGTGATACTTTAATTTTAATTGGGCAATGTTACATGTGCTGGAATATGATGTTTTCAAACTAATTATTATTATATACAGACATAAAAAATTTGTAACTGAGAAACTAAATCAATATTTTAAAGTTGAAATTACAAAACTGAATATTAATTATTAACAAATTCAAACTAACAAGAAGAGTTTTGGCAAACTTGACTGTGACCTAAATTCCATTTGATGAACTACTTTCTACATGAAATGAAGCCATAAGGGCTGCCATATTTATCAAAGGTCATTATAGTTCAGTGGCATACTGTAAACATATCTCAATTTAGCTGACAAAACTGATTTGTTGACAGAAAAGCAGTAAATTTCAGTCAGTACAAATTAACGTTTTTTGTCCAATATTGTAAACAAAGACTTGAGAGACAGTATCAGCCCACTAACAGCCATTGTAGACTGTCTGGTGGGGCTGTTTACAATCCTCTTGCATTTTTCAAATGGTTAGAACTGAAAACTATGAATTTGTATTTTTCAATTTTATTATGACAAGTTTTTGACTCTTAATTACAACTTCAGTAGATCATCTTCACGAGCATATAAGAACACTTACTTTTTTTTTTGTAAAAATGAAAAATATATATAAAGCTAGTGGCATGTATCAATAATGTCAAAAAATTCAATACATGTAACATGTATACCCAAATTACTTAAGTACTTAAAATACCACGCATAACATTATATATATGTAGAATAAACAAAAAAGCAACAATGTGGAACTATATTAAATCTGAGAACACACAAAAAAATGTCAAGTAAATATATTATCAATAAAAGTTTTAAAAATTTAAAATTACAATAAATTAAAACAATAACATCATCATCAAAAATACACGTGGATATGGCTGCACATTAATGCTCCAAGTACTTCATTATGGAAGGTCTATATTAAATAAGTGTGATTAGCCTCTTACATTAAATCACACATCTACAAATAGAACCATGTGGATATGGCTGCACATTAATGCTCCAAGTACTTCATTATGGAAGATCTATATTAAATAAGCGTGATTAGCCTCTTACATTAAATCACACATCTACAAATAGAACCATGTGGATATGGCTGCACATTAATACCCCAAGTACTTCATTATGGAAGATCTATATTAAATAAGTGTGATTAGCCTCTTACATTAAATCACACATCTACAAATAGAACCATGTGGATATGGCTGCACATTAATACCCCAAGTACTTCATTATGGAAGATCTATATTAAATAAGTGTGATTAGCCTCTTACATTAAACCACACATCTGCAAATAGAACCATGTGGATATGGCTGCACATTAATACCCCAAGTACTTCATTATGGAAGATCTATATTAAATAAGTGTGATTAGCCTCTTACATTAAATCACACATCTACAAATAGAACCATGTGGATATGGCTGCACATTAATACCCCAAGTACTTCATTATGGAAGATCTATATTAAATAAGTGTGATTAGCCTCTTACATTAAATCACACATCTACAAATAAACCATCTATTGATTCAGAAGCAATAACTGTTGCACTTGAATGAGTGAAATAACCTTCATTATACATTTTTATAACTAAAAGATGTTCAAACATACAAAATTTCTCAATCACTTTATCCTAAATAAAAATGCATTTTACAATTATTAAAAACAACTGGAATAACAAGTGCCTTTTTGATGTAGTTTAGTTGCTTAGCTAATACAAAACATAGCATATATCTTGTTCAATCATAAGCAGAATCCTTAATTTAACACAGGCTTACAGTCATCTTATCTGGTTTGACATGCTCTTTAAGTTGCTTTTATAATGAAACAAACATTTTTGCTATATGAAATGTGCTTAGACTTATGGTTTATGGGTTATTTATGTGATCAAACAACTCTTGAAATAAAGTAGACATTTCAAAGTTTGTTGTTTGTAAACTAAATAATGTAACTTTGAATACTTGAATATCACATTAACGTATGCTATGGTTGAATGGAAGCAACTTGTGTACACATGACTTCTTTCACTTTTCCAGACAGAGATTATTTTCACATTGTTGTCTGATGCATGGGTTTGGCTTCTGCCACTGACTTTTGTGTGTGTGGATTTTCACCTGTTACATGTCACACTTTGCTTACCTCATCTGGGGAACTACTTGTTGCAAGTATCTTTCAGAAAGATCCTGGTTGATCCATATTTCTTTATTTGCCAATGCGACTAACTCTTAAGTTTACGGGTCTATACCCAAGTAGCATTTTGCATAATTGACAAAACAACATGAGTATAAAAATACTTTTTTTCCATCTTATAGTTTTCAAATTTCATTTGCATAACCCCTAGAATCTCCTAAGTTTTTTTTTATTTAAGATAAATGTTTATATATGTATTTATTTTCACATTCTCTACAATATTACTAACTGTAGCTATCATCATCAACTTATACTATATAGTCTATTGTATAGTACAATGAAATATTTAAAATTAAGACATAGTAAAAATGTACATACCTTTTCATATTTCATCAAATAATCTTAAAACATCTTCTTTTGGTTATATTCTTAATTGCATGTCTTCAAATTTTCATATATAACTTATTTGAATATTTTATTATCCTTTCCTGTTCTTTAGTGTGGTTATTTATCAAAACACGTTAGTAGATGTTCACGGTCAATATTACAGTATCATGGACAGAGAAATTTTAGCTCTCGGCAGAATGTGGTGGCTTATTATTAAACCTTTCAAATATGTATCTTAAAATATAAATAACAGATAATTAAGTAAAATATAAAACTAAAACCTTAATACAATGCAACTGTCTATTTATCTAATTTACTTCTAGGTGAGAAATAACACTACAATGTTAGCAAGGACGTAAGCAGCAACAATGCTAAGAATGGTTTGACTAGTTCTCTATGGAATTCTTCGTGCCAATTTTAAAACAACTATTGGAAGATCATATTTAAAATGTGGTCTTTCTATTGGTTATAAATATCTAGCTCAACTTTTCAACTTTCATGTCACTGTACATTGATGATTTCACTACAGTTAGTTTTTAGGGTAGAGAAAATAAGAGATAAAGCATAAATTTTTACCAAAAAAAACTTTTGATATATATTTAGGAGGTTTTAGAGGTTATGGTAAACACGATAATGAATAGCTTCACAGATATGGGTCAGTCAATCTAACTGAGCCTAAGAACACAGTTAATATCACTAGTGTTTCTTTACAGAATAAATCTTACCACAATCATTCCCAGCAATGTAGCTTAAATTGGGTTCCAGATCTTCCAGTGAAACCACTTTGAAAGAAGCTAGTGGTGTTGAACCTGGCTGAGTTGATATCATCCCTCTAAACCTGGTGACACTCCAAGTCCTAACATGGTTATATTCAGCACACACTGTTAAAAAATATAAAAAACAACAACATAATGTGCTTTGTTTTCCTTTTCATGATAAAAAACCTATATAATAGCTGCAATATTAACAAACTAAATAAGTTTAACTTATTTTAATAAACTGTGAAAAGCCAGTAGTCCACATATATTATCTTAATTCATACTATTTAACATGAAAGGAATCTGATAATGATTTCTAAACTAAAAAGATGTTGACATTTATAAAATGTCCATCAACTTGAAATTCTGGAAGTTATCTATATTTTCATTCTAAAGAACCTTTACAAGAAAAAATAATGAAACCATTATTGAAAAATAAAACGAAATGACTTGTGCTATATAAAAAAAAATTCAAGAGTTGTCAAAAAAAAGTTTTGTAAATTTAGTACTAATGTCTTAAAATAAACATCTTTCATCAAAATTAAATCAGCTCACTAAAAAAAAAGGAATGAAATGTATAAGTCACGACTGATTTGGTAAGTCAACTCATAAAAATGTGCAACTGATTGGAAAAATAAGCATATAATGTAAAAATCATGATAATTTTTGCAAGAAGGAAAAAGATTTTAGGCATAAAACTAATAAAAAAGTAAAAAAATAGATGTAAAATATGAATAACACCATCAATGATAATAAAAAAGAAGATGAAAGAGAAACAAAGCTAATTATTCATTACATCATTCACAACCTTAGTAGAACTCATCTCACCTGATATAAGATACTTCTCAGAAAGCATGACTTTAATCACTGGAGTCCGATGGACTGTAAAAGTCTGGAAGAGCTGAGGTCCATGGCCTACTGTTTCTGGATGTTGGACAATCACACGTACTGTGCCAGAACTAGTCCCATATGCT